TGTGTGTTCGCGAGTGTACACATTTATGTGTGTGAGTGGATATGTGTGTGTGTGTGTGTGTGTGTAAGCGAGTGTACACATTTATGTGTGTGAGTGTGTGTGTGTGTGTGTGTGTGTGTGTGTGTGTGTGTGTGTGTATATATATGTATATTTATGCATATATGTATTATTATTTTTATTTGTTTGTTTTGTTCCCACTGGTTATATGTTCTTCATATCAATAAAAACTAAGTAAAAAAAAAAAAAAGGTCTTTTTAACTAAACCCTTCATGACCGCTTCACAGCTCTCTCTTTTAGGATATTGTCAAAAATCAGTTTCCCTATGCAGTATTGACTGTCCCGCTGTATTTAGTGAAATCCGTCAGTTACTGTCTGAGCGCCTGCAGCTTCTGACAGGTGTCACTTCTCAATTCTGATGTAAAAAGCCGGCTTAATAACATCTCATTTCTCTCCCGGACCCATTTGTCTGTCAGAGTGAATGACAGTATTCTGTTCGTGAATGACGTGGACGTTCGGGAGGTGACCCACAGTCAGGCGGTGGAGGCGCTGAAGGAGGCCGGAGCCATCGTCAGACTCTATGTGTTACGCAGAAAACCCATCGCTGAGAAAGTCACCGAACTCAAGCTCATCAAAGGGCCAAAAGGTATCGAGAAGCAACACGTGATTAAAAAACTGTCAAAGAAAACGCTGTCTTCATCTTTACATTTGTGTGTGTGTGTGTCAGGGCTAGGCTTCAGTATAGCTGGTGGTGTGGGGAACCAGCACATCCCCGGAGACAACAGCATTTATGTCACCAAAATCATCGAAGGAGGAGCGGCTCATAAAGACGGACGACTACAGATTGGAGACAAGATTCTGGCGGTATGATGACACACACATCACTGATGAGGACTAATACACAGACAGACTGGTAGGAGTTATTGCTGAGTGAGATTCGAGCATTATCCTCATATAGCTGTGTATCTTTGGCTCATTCTGGCTCTTCAATGCTGCCACCTGCTGGTTGCATGTGTAGTGTTCAGTTTGAGTGTAAACCTGGATCAGAAAAGCAGTCGTGGGATTTAGAGTCAGTTTTTGGAGATTTAGATTCATGCCTTATCTAAAAGCTGATTAAATAAGCTTTTTAATGATTGTGTTTTCAATCGTTTGTTAATTGTCATGTATAGAGGATTTACAAAGCATGAATAGTCCTAACTTTAGGACACAAAACTGGATGAAGTTGAGTTTATAAAGCATTTATTACATACAAAGTCACCAATAAATGCCTGAATAATCAGTTATATAAATGTTCAGTTAAATAGTTTATTAATTATTTGCTTACGCATTCTGAATGATCTTAAAAATCACCAACTACTCTTAAATAACTGGTTTGTAAATGATGCAACATTTACATTTAGTCATTTAGCAGACGCTTTTATCCAAAGCGACTTACAAATGAGGACAAGGAAGCAATTTACTCAACTATAAGAGCAACAATGAATAAGTGCTATAGGCAAGTTTCAGGTGTGTAAAGTGTTAGAAGCAAAACATTAGTAATTTATTTTTTTGTAGTACAGTTAGCGGTGGAGTCAGAGAGGCAATCCAGATTAGGAAGGGAAGTGGAGACTAAATAGTTGAGTTTTTAGTCGTTTCTTGAAGACAGCGAGTGACTCTGCCGTTCTGATGCAGTTAGGGAGTTCATTCCACCAACTGGGCGGATTGAATGCGAGAGTTCGGGAAAGTGATTTCTTCACTCTTTGGGATGGAACCACGAGGCTGTCAGGACACTGGCTTGATCTTTCTCTTTATTTCTCTCTCTCCCTGCTTTTCATTCTTGCAGCGTGCACTCACCTTATCATTATTAGCTTGCTGCACCTGTTACCGGTCTCCATTAATTTCCTTGCTATTTAAGCTGTCCTTTTCCCACTTTCTGGTCGCTAGTGTGTCCTGTCATTATTCAGGCTCCGAGATTATTCTCGCTACGTTATCTTGAGTCCTGTCATTGTCATGCATTACTTCATGGTCTGATTCTGTTTTTCTTATCTGCCCAGTTTTTGCTCGGTTGCCTGTGCTTTTTCTGTTTCATTTTGGATTCTCCGCGGCCAGCCACCTACCTTCGACTTCGCCTGTCCGACGCTGAACTTGACTTTCCTCCGTTATCCCATCTGCCTCCCGATCGATGCTCGCCTGCCTGACCTCTCTCACGCCCGCCGATTTGGACACTGTTACCGAGTTACCTTTCGCTCTCGCCGAGCGATCTCATCATTTTCATTTGAGTCACGAGCCTTGGCTCGTCATTGTTTTGAAGAGTTAATAAAATCCTTTTGTGTTAACAGCATTTGCGTTTGGATCCGTCTCTCCGGGTGTGACAGGGGTGACGTTCATTCACAGAACGCAAGTTTCTGGAGGGCACATAAATCTGCAGAAGTGAGAGCAGATAAGAAGGAACAAATCTAGAAGTCGCTTTGTAAGCAAACATCAGAGCTTTGAATTTGATGCGAGCAGCAACTGACAGCCAGTGCAAACGGATGAGCAGCGGAGTGGCATGTGCTCTTTTAGGTTCATTAAAGACCACTCGTGCTGCTGCGTAGAGAGTTGCAATAGTCCAGTCTGGATAGAACAAGAGCTTGAACAAGGAATTGAGCTGCATGTTCTGATAGGAAGGGTCGGACTTTTCTGATGTTATAGAGGCCCCGTTTACACAAATACGTTTTCGTTTTAAAACGCATAAGATTTGCTACGGGGAGCGCCGAAAACGGAGCGTTTTGAAAACGCTGGAGAGGCCGTTTTCATTCTGAAACGCTGCTGCTCATTTCAGTGTGGATGAGGAAAAACGGAGACATCTGAAAACGGAGGCGGGACTACTGAGATTCGCTACCTGATTGGGGCTTTTGTGTCATTGCGTATCCTTCCCTTATTCGTCAAGTCCCTATCACATGACTATAACACATGGCTTTAATGCTACCGGAAGACAGTACTGTAAACAATAACATGGGCACAGAAATGGGAGCGTTGTTTGCACTATTGTCTGTTTTAGGCGCCATTGTGCAGTTATTTATTTGTTACGTTTAGTAACAACTCGACCTCGTCGTCTGTCTACAAAAATACCTCTCTTGCTTTCTTTGTTATACTTCTAGTGTTTATACTAGAACGCGCATGCCCAGAGTGCGTGAATGGTCACGTGATATACGTTTTTGGTGACGTAGTGTGGAAGGAGATACGTTCAGAGATGCTAGGTGAAACGCTAGTGTGGACGCGGATCGTTTCTGATCTAAAACGCCATTTTAAAACTAAAACGCACTAGTGTAAACGGGGCCAGAGTGCGAATCTGCAAGATCCAGCAGTTCTAGAAATGTGGTCAGAGAAGTTTAGTTGGTCATGAATCGTTAACACTTAATTGAGTAATGAAAAATGAATCATTAACAAAGTATAAAACCACATGAGCTTATAAGTCAAGAATACAGCATTTGTAGATTTAGTTATAAACTGCTTACTAACACCTACTAATGTAGAGTTAATGCTTAATAAATAATGAATTCACTATTTGCTCATGTTTAATAAATGATTTATAGTGTGTGGTTATTATACCGAATAAATCTTGTTTTTCAAAAAGCACACAGTAAGGTCATTCTTTGTGTTGTGTGCTGTGACCTGCAGGTGAATAATGTGTGTTTGGAGGATGTGATGCATGAGGATGCGGTGGGAGCGCTGAAAAACACAGCAGAGGTGGTCTACCTCAGAGTGGCCAAGCCAAATAACCTGTACCTTACCAACAACTACAACCCACCAGACCTCACCAGCAGTGAGTACAACATGTGCACACATTCATCTCCACGCTTTTTGGTCTAACGCCCCATTCACACGGGGCTTCAGCGTCAATGCTTGACGGAAAGCGTGTCTGAAGTTGGGGCTGAAACAATCGTCATAGAAGCGTCAGCCAATGAAATTCAGTCAGAAATAGGCCACTGTCTAGCTGGTGTATTTGCATACAGCGATCTGATTGGCTGACGCTTCCGTCGGCGCTTGAAAAGTTGAGCTGGTCCCAACTTCTGCAGCAAGCAACACCTCTGAAGCGGCGCCGACGGATCCACAATGCAGTTCGGCAACGCCTGACGTCACCCATTCAAAGTGAATAGAAAGCGTTGACGCTGACGCCCCGTGTGAATGGGGCGTAACATATATAGCTGAAGTCAAAATTATTCGCCCTCCTTTTTCTTTTTCAAATATTTCCCAAATGATGTTTAACAGAGCAATTTTTACACAGTATTTCCTATAATGTTTTCTTCTGGATAGTCGTATTTGTTTTTTTCAGCTTGAATAAAAGCAGTTATTAATTTTTTTTTAGCCATTTTAAGGTCAATATTATTTGCCCCCTTAAAGCAATATTTTCTTGAATGTCCACAGAACAAACTACTGTTAGACACTGACTTCCCTAATTGCCCTAACCTCTCTAATTAACCTAGTTAGGTCTTTAAATCTCAATTTAAGCTGAATAATAATATCTGGAAAATATCTAGTCAAATATTATTTACTATCATCATGACAAATATCAAATAAATGAGTTATAAGAAATGAGTTATTAACCCTATTATGTTTAGAAATGTGCTGAACAAATCTTCTCTCTGTTAACCAATTAAAGTCTGCGGTCCGTGGCATCATTGACTTTTGCTTTAATATTTAAAGTGCTATCATTGCACCAGACCTCCTTAAGTGGTTTCGTTTGAAAGTGTAGAAGCTATAGTTTATGCACATATCCATCACTTTAGTTTTTATACTACTGTGCAAAAGTTATTTACACTTAAATACACAGTATTTTGGATACCCGAGCTGGGTATTCTACATTGGTTAATTTTTATATTTTTCATATGACACATGTACAAGTTATTGCTCAAATGAAAGCTCTTGCCGGTGCTCATACGGTTCTAGCATTATTTTTACTGAATTATATTCACATATCAAACAGTTGCAGAATGAATCTCGGTGTTTCCATGGCGCAGAAGTGAAAGCAATACATTTATGATCAATAAGCAGCCCCAGATAGCACAGACAGCTGTCATCTCTTACCTTATGCTGTGTGCTTCAGGGCCATTCTCCTCTGTTTCTGAGGTGATGTGCATAAGTAATCCTTTTATAAGTCTGATGTGGTCCAAACACAGTAAATTATGTTCGATCAAACAAAAGAATAGTGAAATATGAAAACAATGATCGCTCCCTGTGGCTTGTACAGCACCTCTCATCAGATGGAATACAATAACTTTTAATTACATTTACATTTACATTTAGTCATTTAGCAGACGCTTTTATCCTAAGCGAACTACAAATGAGGACAAGGAAGCAATTTACACAACTATAAAAGCAACAATGAATAAGTGCTATAGGCAAGTTTCAGGTGTGTAAAGTCTAAGAAGGAAAGTATTAGTAGTATTAGTATTTATTTATTTATTATTTTTTGGGTACAGTTAGTGTGATATTCAGAGAGGCAATTGCAGATTAGGAAGGGAAGTGGAGACTAAATAGTTGAGTTTTTAGTCGTTTCTTGAAAATATCGAGTGACTCTGCTGTTCTGATGCAGTTAGGGAGTTCATTCCACCAACTGGGCAGATTGAGCGTGAGCGTGAGCGAAAGTGATTTCTTCCCTCTTTGGGATGGAACCACGAGACGACATTCATTCACGTTCATTCAATTAGATTATGGTAGAGACATTTTTCTTTTTTCCTATGATTACAGACATGTGCAGGAACCACTAAAATGAATTACAGCACCCTAGACCACACAGAACCTAAAAGGTACAGTTTCAAATTTGAGTTTATAAAAAAAAAATACAAAAAGCGCCTCTTTTTTTAGGCGTTTATTATAACACAGACAACCTATACAGTTATTTTAAACACTTTCAAAAGTGTTTTATGAAAATTCAAAGGGTTTTCTTTAAAATGATACCAATTTTTTGCATTTACACCTCTGCATGTGGATTTGGGAAGCTTTTAAATTTAGGTAGGCAAAATCCAGGCGGAAATCACAAAATAGCAGCAGAGTTTAACTGGTTAAACAGAAACTGGGGGAA